GAGGACTTTCAGGCGTACTTTGCATTTAGAGTAGAGCCTTTAGCAGTTTGTCCCGTAATGGAACGCTATCTTTTCGTGGTTTCCGTCTCCGGCTCTTTAGTATCTTTGTGCAATGATGAGAATGATCTTTTTGTTTCCGCTGAACAGATACGGGATTTTTTTCTTTGCAGTCACTTTGGCATTTTATTTTTCTAGAGTTACCCCAGCGTTTACAATACAACCCGATTACAGTTAAAATGTGTGTAATTAGTCATTAGCTTCGCTTCATTCTTGTTTTATTGTGACAGCTTTGTGACGAGCTCCAACATGAGAAAATTATGCTTCCAATCCTTCCCCATCAATACATAATTCCCTCATTTTTGGCCTTTTGTTTTATGAATTTTCTTTTTTCCCCTAAGTTTAGGGAGTTTGTTATTAGATGTGTGTTCCTCTGTGTCTGTTTGGTTGATTTGAAACAACAAACTAACTTATGATTAATACAAGATAAATTACTGAGTTCAAATTTGAACATTGAAAATGTAGGTCGATATTGATCTAAGATATTCATATTGCTGTTAAATCTGATAACCGATATTTACAGATATTTCTTTAGTATAAGTAGGGATGTAAGAAAATAAAGATACACTATATTTTGCAATATTTCGTGTTCAGATATATAATCTATTTATAAAAGTAGTGCGTAAGTTTTACGTAGAAGATTTACGTGCAATCATGTATCTTTGTTACTTGTGGGGTGCAATTCACAATCTGACTGCTAGGTGGCAGCAGTTTTTACCACCTTCATTCTGATGGAACAACAAGATCTGATCTCCTCTAAATCCGAGACCATGGTCTTGATTCGGAAAAGGGTAGAATGCCTTCTCCGGGTCAGGGATGAGGTCCTGCCCCAAGTGGAGGAGTTTAAGTATCTCGGGGTCTTGTTCACGAGTGAGGGAAAACTGGAGCGTGAGATCGATAGGAGGATCGGTGCTGCGTCTGCAGTGATGCGGGCGTTGTACCGGTCTGTCGTGGTGAAGAGAGAGCTGAGTCAGAAGGTGAAGCTCTCGATTTACCGGTCTATTTACGTTCCTACCCTCACCTATGGTCATGAGCTTTGGGTAGTGACCGAAAGAATGAGGTCGCTGATACAAGCGGCCAAAATGAGTTTTCTCCGCAGGGCGGCTGGGCTCTCCCTTAGAGAAAGGGTGAGAAGCTCAGTCATCCGGGAGGGGCTCGGAGTAGATTTGCTGCTCCTCCACATCGAGAGGAGCCAGTTGAGGTGGCTCGGGCATCTGGTCAGGATGCCTCCTGGACGCCTCCCTGGTGAGGTTTTCCGGGCACGTCCAACCAGGAGGAGACCTAAAGGTAGACCCAGGACACGGTGGAGGGACTATGTCTCTCACCTGGCCAGGGAACGCCTTGGGATTCCCCCGGAGGAGCTGGCCCAAGTGGCTGGGGAGAGGGAAGTCTGGGCCTCTCGCCTTAGGCTACTGCTCCTGCGACCCGACTCTGGATAAGCGGATGAAAGTGGATGAATGGATGGAAGATCTGGTGATAATACCGGATGTGTTTTAGAAGCATCTGACCTGAGTTTTCCATTAAGTTTAGTCAAAAAATTGCAATTTTTTTCTGACTTTTAGTGACGCAATAAATCTCATTCTCTCTTTTGTATTGAGATATATACTTTATCGCCAGACTCTTGCCAATACACACTCCTAAATATAAGAAATCTGATTGCCTTTCGATCTCATGACTAAACAATAACAAACAATCACCCCTCACCCTCTAAAAACAAACAAACAGCAACTAACTGGAAAAAATGTGTTGAGAAAATCGGCCCAGTTTTACTCATCAGACCGATGTGTTCAAAAATGACCAACATGCCGATATCGATGACGATATATTGTGCATCCCTAATTCAAACTTTAAACCCATCATAGACTTTTCTGGCTCTAAGTAACTTTCTCCCATTCTCTCTAAGATTTTTAGATAAATTAATTTGTATGAATAAGTGAAGAAAGCTCCTCTTCTTCATATTTATGTGACACAATAACATCCAAAAGGTGTTTGTGGTAAATGATCCTAAATAATAAAATTTGATGGTTTATTATAAAGTTGTTATGGTAACATTATACAGAAAATAGGTCTGTTGTTGTAACTGGGGTTTATTATTTTTTACATTTCAGGTTTGAAAGGAGTAAATGAGTCGTCTTTAGTTAAAACATTCCCAAATTCTGGATCTAATAATCTCGGAACATTTCTGCTTCCGTTCCTGGATGTTTGGAGTCTTTGCGCCTTTAGGATCCTCAGATCTTCCCAACCTTCCCATCAGGAGCTTTGAATTCTCCAACCACTTCCTGCACTTCCCCTCCGATTAGGCTAAAAGGTTTAGTCGTCAAGGGTAGAGCTGAAACGACGAATCAATTAAATCGATGATGAAATGCGTTGGCGTGTGTTTACATGTGTAAATCAGACATGGCATGGCGCGGAAGTACGACGGCGATGATTCAGCATCTTAATGCATGCATGGAGCCATTGAGGAACGGGTAAGAAGAGTAATTCACCGCTAGGCCCGGATTCATTAAAACCGTAAGCCAGGGCTGTACGATAAAAGAAACTGTGCAATAAACTATTTTTAGACGTAGCGCTCGTGCGACTTCTTTTCAAGTTACATTTTCCCAGAACTTTATTGAAAAAGACAAGTTGCTTAAAGAGCAAGTCAACCCCTACAAGAACCTTACTCCACTCCCACTTCCTGTTTGAAAAATGCAACAAATGCTGTTGCCTGCCAGACCGAGAGGGCGGAGCCTATGGATGTAAGAAAATATCGATATGGCAATATATCGTGATAATTTTTCCTGCAAATATTACATCGATATTCAAAAACCGTGTATCTAAATCCTGAAAGAATTTACATGCAAACATTTGTGTATTTTCTTTTCGTTTTGTGCAATTCAATCGCCACCCGCTAGTTGGCAGCAGTGTGCAGCGGGTTTTGTTTCCACCACTGAAATGTAAATCCCTCCATCATGGTTCAGATACCTCATGTTAAACATGTTACGTATCAGTTTGGACTGTTTATTGAACATTCTTACAATAAATTCAGTAAAAAAAAATAGCTTGTAACGTCTGACTGAATGTATCGCAATATATCGTGATAAATCGTATCGTCTCCCCTGTGTCGTGATATGTATCGTATAGATAGATAGATAGATAGATAGATGCTATGGGGAAAATGAAAGCCAATCTGGCATGATGACATCATAAATATGCAAATTAGCTTTTGACTTCATCTGGCGACATCTGGGTGACTTTCTGGGTCAACTTCAGCTGCTTTCTATCAGGGAGAGTTGGCAACACGGCTTATTAGCGTTGCATTTTCTACAATAACTGCTGTAAGACCGCCTTGAACTGATTTTCATTGAACATTTTTCCTACATTCACCCTAAAAGTTGTTCATTTTAACACTAAATGACAGAAAGATGTTTGTATTAAGTCACTGAGTAGACAGATGTTTAATGTTGACTGTTAAAGTAGAAGTGAAAGGTTTAACCACGTTTGGTGAGTTCTGGCACCAGAAACCCAGAGGTCACTAAAAACTCTCTGTTTGTGTTTGTGGTCCAACAGGGCAGAACCCATCCTTGGGCGGATCAAAGAGGACCGGACCCGCGTGGTTTCTCCCTCATTTGACAACATCAAGTACGACACGTTTGAGATCGAGGAGTATCCTCTTTCTGCTCAGGGCTTCGACTGGGAGCTCTGGTGCCGATACCTCAACCCACCCAAGTCCTGGTGGACGCTACGCAACCACACAGCCCCAATCAGGTAAACACAAACATCTTTTTAAGTGAAGCACAAAATTACTGGAGAGTATTTGGATTTCAATGAGAAAAATGTGTTTTTATCATGAAGGAAACTCAGCTGAATTATTAATAAATTCCCTTGAATCACATTGAAGTTCTGTTGATGAGATCACTGACTGAGCTCATTATTTTTACATTATGACCTCTGAACTCTAATTCCCAGGAATGATTATGTGTGCAAACTCTATCAAGTGTTGTGTTGATATTCCGAAGCCCGTATTAAACTTATGGGATACGATCGGAGTAGGGCTGCACAATATATCGAAAAATTACCGTCATCGCGATAACAGGACGTGCGATAGGCCCATCGCAAAGCACGTCAAAAACGGCGATAAATGTTTGGTTCAAACATTTCCATCCGTGTCATACATCAACTTTTTGTAAACCAGCTGTTTTTTACATGGAAGTATTATTTGACCAATCAAATGGGTCCGTTCACGTAACACGCCCGCCCCCTACGAGCTGCCCCGCGCTGCTCGGCTGTCTCCATCCGAAGGTTGAGATGTTTGCCAGCCTTACATAACCGCTCTTGTTTTCGGCACCACCACTTCCTCTGCGCGCCGACACCAGAGCGTCGGAGACGGTGCTGCAGAGCGGAGCTTCCCGGGCTGCGCTTACTTTGGGCCGCCGTGCCGCCGCCTGGTTCACCAGCTCCAGCACAGATTGTATCCCCAAAATTCCACTATCTCCGCTCCGCCCCCACTTTCCGCTGCCACTCGCTTCCCTTGTTCGTCATGCTGGCTCAGATTAACGACCGCACTTTGTGATGAGGTTTCTGGCTCCGGTTAGCTTCCAGCTAAAAGGCTACAGCACTCTCCTCCCAGTCCCACCCTGCTAAAGAGGGCCTGGAAAAGTTCCCCCTCACATCAAAGTGATTTTTCCTTTATGAGCTTTTATAACCTTGTTAATCAGGATAGTTGGTTTGCTGCTGCACATAAACTGTCAGTCAGAAGCTCTGCTAGCCGGTATCTTAGAGGAGCTAGTTCAGTTTGTTAGCTTGTTATCAGAATCATAGTTGCAGTTTCATCATCTGAGCTGCTTTTTAAGGTCCAGGTAAACTTGTTCAATTTGGGGTTAAAAACAAATGTTTTCACATATTTTCCATGTAGTTTTTTTTTTTGCCAGTTCCTCTTCTGAAAGGTAGACAATTGTTTTTCCCTCAGAAAATCTTAATATTCTCCTAGTTTGGCCCAGCACAGTTCACTTAGCAGCAACAGCCTTACAGGTGCTGGCCAGTAAATTAGAATATCATCAAAAGGTTGAAAATATTTCAGTAATTCCATTCAAAACGTGAAACTTGTACATTATATTCATGCAATGCACACAGACCAATGTATTTCCGATGTTCATTACATTTAAATTTGATATTCATAAGTGACAACTAATGAAAACTCCAAATTTGGTATCTCAAAAAATTAGAATATTCTGAAAAGGCTGAATATAGAAGACACCTGCTGCCACTCTAATCAGCTGATTTACTCAAAACACCTGCAAAGGCCTTTAAAAGGTCCCTCAGTCTTGTTTTGAAGGCACCACAATCATGGGGAAGACTTCTGACTTAACAGCTGTCCAAAAGACAATCATTGACACCTTGCACAAGGAGGGCAGGACACAAAAGGTGATTGCTAAAGAAGCTGGCTGTTCGCAGAGCTCTGTGTCCAAGCACATTAACAGACAGGCGAAGGGACGGAAAAAATGTGGTAGAAAAAAGTGTACAAGCTCTAGGGATAACCGCACCCTGCAGAGAATTGTGACGACAAACCCATTCAAAAATGTGGGGGAGATCCACAAAGAGTGGACTGCAGCTGGAGTCAGCGCTTCAAGAACCACCACGAGGAGACTCATGAAAGACATGGGATTCAGGTGTCGCATTCCGTGTGTCAAGCCACTCTTGAACAAGAAACAGCGCAAGAAGCGTCTCGCCTGGGCCAAGGACAAAAAGGACTGGACTGATGCTGAGTGGTCCAAAGTTATGTTTTCTGATGAAAGCAAGTTCTGCATTTCCTTTGGAAATCAAGGACCCAGAGTCTGGAGGAAGAGCGGAGAAGCACAGAATCCACGTTGCATGAGGTCCAGTGTAAAGTTTCCACCGTCAGTGATGGTGTGGGGTGCCATGTCATCTGCCGGTGTTGGCCCACTCTGTTTCCTGAGGGCCAGGGTCAATGCAGCCGTCTACCAGGAAGTTTTAGAGCACTTCATGCTTCCTGCTGCTGACCAACTTTATGGGGATGCAGACTTCACCTTTCAACAGGACTTGGCACCTGCACACAGTGCCAAAACCACCAGCACCTGGTTCAAGGACCATGGTATCCCTGTCCTTGATTGGCCAGCAAACTCGCCTGACCTTAACCCCATAGAAAATCTATGGGGTATTGTGAAGCGGAGGATGCAATACGCTAGACCCAACAATGCAGAGGAGCTGAAGACGACTATCAGAGCAACCTGGGCTCTCATAACACCTGAGCAGTGCCACAGACTGATCGAGTCCATGCCACGCCGCATTACTGCAGTTATTGAGGCAAAAGGAGCCCCGACTAAGTATTGAGTGCTATACATGCACATTCTTTTCATGTTCATTCTTTTCAGTTGGCCAACATTAGAGAAACAAACATTTTTTCATTGGCCTTTAGAATATTCTAATTTTCTGAGATACCAGATTTGATGTTTTCATTGGTTGTCACCTATAAATATCAAAATTAAACGTAATGAACATTGGGAATACATTGGTCTGTGTGCATTGCATGAATATAATGTACAAGTTTCACGTTTTGAATGGAATTACTGAAATATTTTCAACCTTTTGATGATATTCTAATTTACTGGCCAGCACCTGTATATATATATATATATATATATATATATATATATATATATATATATATGTATGTGTATATGTATGTATGTATGTGTATATATATATGTATGTATGTGTATATATATATGTATGTATGTATGTACCGGTATGTATGTATGTATGTATGAATATATATGTTTGTGTGTGTGTGTGTGTGTGTGTGTGTGTGTGTGTGTGTGTGTGTGTGTGTGTGTGTGTGTGTGTGTGTGTGTGTGTGTATTTGATGTTCCCGCAGCAAAGCTGTTAAAACACTGTGAAGTACAAAACTCTAATTGAACAGTACTCAGAGTAAAATTCAAAAGTACTTTTTATCATAATTATTTTAAATCCTACACCAGGGATGGTGTCTTGCTCCACAAAGAGGTGAATTATTCTTGAAAACTTTATTTGTTCGTCTCTGATTTGTTCTGAAAAAACACTTTGTAGTGCCTGCTTACCGGTGAGTCGAGCTGCACCGCTGAGCAAACTCTGGATGATGTTTAGATTCTGACATTTAGGAGTTGGCCCGTTTTTCATGATCCAGCTAAAGGCTTTAAGGATTTGTTTTCAGAATTTCACATTTCAGGAGAAGCCGTGTTTGGCTTCACAACACATCCAGACTGATATTTGACTTCCCTTCATTGCCAAATAAACACATCACCAGTAGAGGACCAGAAAATGTAGCATTTGGCTAATCCATTCATTCATGCATCCATTTTCATTCACTTATCCGGGGTCGGGTCACGGGGGCAGCAGTCTAAGGACAGAGTGCCAGACTTCCCTCCCCTCAGCCACTTGGGTCAAGGTTCTTCTGGGGGAATCCCAAGGCGTTCTCTGGCCAGCTCAGAAAATAGTCCCTCCAGCGTGTCCTGGGTCTTCCCCTGGTTGGACGTGCCTGGAAAACCTCACCAGGAAGGCATCCAGGAGGCATCCTAACTAGATGTTTGCTTGTTGGGAACATCTTCATGGATCAGTTGTGACTTCCATGTTTTCCGACTAGACAATCGTATTGGAAAGCCAAGACTGTTTTGCATATAAACGCGAACCAAGAGACCACGCACATAAAAATGATGGGAAGCTGTCACAAGGAACAACATTTGCAAAATATCTCCTGACCCAGCTGGACAGATTTTAGATTAAACGGAAAGTCGTCGCGGCATAATCTGATTAAGTTCAGGAGTGGAGCCAGTACAAGATCATCACCCAACTAAATGAAACACAGAAAGGTCGTGCATCTGCAAACAATGACTTAGAGTAAACTGATTCAATATGGCCGCCACAGCTGATCAACCTCAGCAAGCGTGGCTCTGATGTGAGCAGCTCTGTAGCCAGGAGAGCCAGCCAGGAGTCAAACCCTCACCTGCATCACCGTGAATACGCGATACGCATCTCTTTACCCCCTAAACACAGTCACCTGTGTTATAATCAGAGACTCTTGAGCAAGGCAGCTCCCTCCAGGCTACAGAGATAATATCAGGTTTGAATGCCACTTTTTGACGTGAGGATCTCAGGCTGTTTGCTAAAGCTGTATCCTCCCAGGGGAGAGAAACTCACCCAAACATGCTGTTGTTGTTTTTACAATCATCTCATATCAATACCAGGAGATGTGTAGGAGTGACAGCAGGAATACTAACAGGAGTTGTTTTCCACTCCTGTTCAGCTTCATGTTGATTCCCCACTTTGACAACAGTGTCATTTGTAAGTATAATGCCTTCTGTTGGCTCATGATGAGATGCTGAAGCCTTTCTTCAGAGCATCCGATGTGCAGCGTTCTCCCAAAGCCTAGACCCTGCAGTATGAGACCCTTTGTGAGCTAATTGCACGTTTGGAGAAGCTTTGTGTGCCGGAAGGACACTTTGCATTTAAACTCCCTTATTTCAGCGCATTTGTAAACAACATTGTTTTTTTTTCACACTCCCATCACCTTCTCTTGCAGGAGCCCTGCTCTGATTGGCTGCTTCGTGGTCGACAGGAAATACTTTGAGGAGATTGGATTGCTGGATGAGGGCATGGAAATTTACGGCGGAGAAAACGTTGAACTTGGCATCCGGGTAAGACTGCATCTTATTAGCTGCCAACCTCGCTGTTCATGCACTCAGAGGGCCCTCGTAACCACGGGGATTTATTCCCTGTCCATCGCTGCAGTTTTACTCGTCAGCATCCAAATTGAAATAATCTGTATAGGAGGCTCGTTCTGCCTGGGAGGAGAAACAAATGACCTTTTCTCTGACTGATGGGAGCTTTATCAGTCATCCATGTTATTCATTTAGTGTGAGTCAAACAAACCGAGCTGATGACTGATAATCAGTGGCAGCTGAACATCTCTGTTGCATAAATAATCTATTTTAGACCCTTTACTGTTTGTAATTAATTAATTAATTAATTAAAATATCATTTTGCCCCGATCATTGCAGGTTTTAGGTTCAGGAACACGATCGGTTTAAGCTCTTTATCAGATGTCTCAGCTGAAGCTCAGACCTTCTGAGGCTGTAAAATAATCCTCCGAAGTTTCCGGAACTTCGAGATTTGATGGATGTTTTAAACGTTAAAGAGAAACTGCTGACCTGGGATCAGTTTGGGGGTGATTTATGTTCCCTTTCAGCACAGTTTCAGTTCCTAAGCGCCGCATTTCCTAAAAGCTTGATTGTGTCTGAATCTGATTCAGTGCAGTGCTGTAAAAAGGTTTTTGCCTCCTTGCAGATTTGTTCTGTTTTAGCTAAATCAGCAGATGAAGATTCAAGATCCAGACATTATAAATGAATTCTGATTAATTTCCTTCCCCTTTTCTTAAAGGGACATTATGGAAGTGTGACAGCCAAAACACGTATAGAAATAATAAATGTCTTCTTCATACATTCTCCTGCAATGCCCTGGTCCTGTAGAATGAGCCCTGGCATTTTTACTGTGATTGCCTGTTTTTCTGTAAAATCACAGAAAAAGAGAGATGCTCGGGTCGAGCAGGCTGCTTCATGCGCGTTCACGCTCAGGCATCGCCCGTAGCATTTGCTATCCGTAGCTTTAGCAGCAGAGAGAGAGGCAGTGCCACTTTGTCGCTGTTCCTAACGCCTAGTGACAAAGCTAGCTACATTTCTGAGGACCCTTAGCTACTTTCTGTAGAACTTTCTTCTAGATATTTCCTGCTAATTAGCAACAAAATAGCCATTTTCACTCCGAACCGTTCTTTGAACGTTGTTTCAGCTGTCATCAAGGATATAAAAGTTACGGAGACAATAGATGTCACTGGTGCTTTAGCTCACCTAGTAAGACGTCGGACTCTCATGCAGAAGACCTGGGTTTGATTCTGGATGTGAACATAGTTTATTTAGAGTTTATTTTTTTACATTAATGATATATTTTTTACAGTAAGATGCCCAAATTTTTATTTGCGACTCACCGAACGGCATTGAATTCACAGATAAAAAAGATGTGGGTTCAACTTTCATTTTGGATCAATTTTTCAAGCAAGGGAAGGGAATGATCTGAGCATGCAGGAGGACTGACCCATCATAAACCTTTGTCGGCTGTGCTGAAGAGAAAGGTACAGAACCAAATTATTTAATTAATTAGCTGCGCGTTCTCCTGTCCTCTGTCCTCCGGGCCACACACACACACACACACACACACACACACACACACACACACACACACCCACACACATACACACACACACACACACACACACACACACACACAGGACTGTCTCAGCTGTTATTTTCGTTAAGGAGTGTGCACGTACAGCATGCGCGCCTCGTGCACCAGCCTACTATTGAAGCTGCCGTTACGCTTTTGGCCTGAGGGGGCAATCGTGAGCACAAAAATTCAAAAGTCCGTTAAGTCCCTTTAAAGCTGTAGAACACTGAAAAATAAATTTTCATGATTATTTCTGATTATAATTGGTCGTTTCTCCGCTAGTAAAAGCTAACCATTAGCATTAGCAGCTCCACCATACAGCAGAACTCCTCCAGGCTTGTGTTATTTGTGGAGATAAAACTTCCATGTCCCCGAGCGAACAGTGTCAGTGGTAGAGTCGTGCTCCTGGTAGCCAGTTCAAGGAGAGACGTCCAAATATCAGAAAATAGCTCTCCAAGTCCTGCTGTCGGCTGCAGCAGACTTTTCTGTGCTGATCCAGGCACTTCTGGGCTTTTTTCCCCCTGAGTATGACTTACAAGGTGTTAAGTCCTACCAGAAACCACTGCCAATGTATTGATCAAATGAGTGTTCAACCCCTTTAAGGACACGAGTTTAAGACATTCCAGGCATTAATGTGTTTGTCCTGCATCGTAAGCGTTCCTCTTTTTCCCCATCTGATGCAGGTTGCAGGTGCCACAAGGTTCAATTGCTCTGAATAAACCTCCACTGTAGAGGCTAATTAGCTGCACGGCTGCTGGTGTTAGCATGGAGAATGGATTATTCAGTACAACACGAACACCCGGCCCATAAGCAGCCAGTTTCCCAGCAGGGGAGGATGCTGCAGTCGTGACCCCCCTACAGTCTGTGTTTTTCTAAATGACATCAGACGCTCCCTCCAGCTGTTGGTCAGCATTTCACTTCTGCTTCTGCACTGAATCGAGACGTATAGTCACAGGCACGGTGCTGCAAATCCGTTACCCTCTGCAGCAACTGTAACATAATCTGAGATTAAATAATCCAGAAAAGGAGACATTTGTTAATGTTCCAGACATTACACTGGATTGGTGGAGCACTCGGTTGCCAGTGCAGCTTTGGGATTAAAACCTGGAATTGGTTTATTTGGCTTAAAGCGAGGGTCAAGGCCTGGATGCATGTTCCATCCACACTTCCTGTTAGGAAAACGCTTCTGAAAGAGGCGTCGCCCGGTGGACCGAGAGAGCGGCACTGAGGCAGTGAGAGACCGCACCCCCCTCAACCCCCCACACCCCCACCCCCGCGTGCGCTGAAAACGAGTTGTTAACGACGTCGTGCGCACTCGCGCGTGCACACAAGCACGCACTCGCACGAGACTCACCGCTCAGGAGAAGAGCAGACACAGATTCTGCAGCATTCTGGAGGATTTCCTGTTAACCGTGATCATTAGATGAAAAAGGGGATGAGGGCATTTTTTTCAAGGAGGCGAGCGGCTCAGAGCGGCAGGTGAGTGGCTGAGCCAGGTGGAGGTGTGGCTGCCTCACCTGGAGACCAGTGAGGTGCAGCCACGTAGTCATTTGCTGACAACGTCACGTTTTCCAGCTTAGCCATCAGCCACCGCTGGTTCTGCATGAATGTGGAGCAGAGATTAACCTGAAGATGGAGATGGAATGATGGTTTTGGGCTGAAATGTTGCGTTTAAAGTAAGTTGCACTAAACTGCCACACTAATCATTACACGCATGTGTACTGCACCATTATCTATACAGGTTGTCAGCAAAGACAACTTAATTTAGGCGTTACTTGCTCTTTAAATAATATCTGATTTGTTGAATAAATTCATGAAAAGTCTTCTAGCCAGTTTGTTCCATCAAGTCTAAAAACAGCAGAAAAGTTGGAATATGTGTGTTTATGGAGCTCTGGTTGTTGGGTAATTTTTAATATTGCTCCTATATTACCTCAAAGAAAGTCAGAACACACACAGAGGGATCAGATTCACAATTTTGGTAAATTGTAAACAACCCTTAAACATACAACATCGAAATACTCTGCAAAGTGAAAATACTTTGCAGAGGGTGAGAGAATCAAACACACCAGACACAACGGCAGTTTGCTCACACACCAGGCAAAGCCTTAGAGCTCCTTTTATTTAGGAAGACACACCCAGAAGTTTACACAATTTCTTCAGCTGACTAGTAACTTAATCAACACATATTGTTGGACCTTCATCTTGTCTCAGGAAGTTGGGTGATCACCGAGGCCATTCTTTACCACTCTAAAATGTGATCAAAGAAGATCGGTGACCTTTTGTTTAAACAAATACTTATCTTGTCCTGCAACGTTCTTTAGGCCTCAAAAAGGCACATTAAATACAGAAAATACCTATCACTGGTCGAGGTGTCTTTTAGTGCACAACTCTTGCCGTGCCGTTCGTTGTGCGTGGTTCAACAGTGAGCGTAGTGATTCACACAGCTGCTCTCACTTTGGCTTGTTTGGGTTTACATTAGCTTCCAGACTCGTCTGATTTGGGAGTGAAGTTTGTGGTTCGTAATGAACTTTTAAACCTAATAAAGTTTATTTTCAAACCAAACGACAACATCTGCGCTCCGAAGAGACGGCTCTATTTTCTTTTGCCGCCTCGGCCCGCTGAGAAGTTACTCAGCGTTAGTATCGGCTTTTATTTCTATTCCTCTTAAGTCTGAGCCTGGCATCAAATGAAACCCTGTTACACACAAACACATTACCATCCTGAATGATTGCACCGGGAGAACAACAGGATTTATGTTTTTGCTGACATGGCTAGCTGCAAATGCTAAAATCCCCCCTTTTGAAATCAATAATTATGTAAATGAGCCGTGATCATTTTGACAGAATCAGTTCTGCGGTGAGACCTCAAGGGCGTTTCTCTTACTCTAAATAATTCATCGTGTCTTGAATTTAGTCCAGGGTTTTAGGCAGGAAGCGGTTTGTTCTATTTCCGTCTCCTCGGTACCAAACAGCAGCATCTTTTGTTATCATCAGCGTGATTTTTATTTGTATTTTTTTTGCTGAAGCGCTCTGTATTTGCAGCCCACGCGTTCCCTTTGTGATGAAGATGGCTTTCATGATGCTTCGTCTACTCCTCGGCATAACATTGTGCCTATTTATTTCTCATCGTCTGAATCTTTGTTTTAACTCAGCTGGCAGATTTCCTTGACATGATTTTGAATCATTCCAAATGTCATTTGTTGTTGCCTGTTTTTCTTTAATACCCCTTTTCATTAAAATAGTTCAATTCAAGTTTATTTATATAGCGCCAATTCACGACAAGAGTCGTCTCAAGGCACTTCACATAATAAACATTCCAATTCAGGTCAGTTCATTAAGCCAATCAGAAAAGATGTTTCCTATATAAGGAACCCAGCAAATTGCATCAAGTCACTGACTCGTGTCAGTGACTTTACAGCAATCCTCATTAGGGGTTGTATGAAGTAGTCGACTAGTCGACTTCACCGCTCTATAGTGACTTTTTATGCCTGTCATCGACTAGTCGCTGTCACGTGATAATGACCGGCAAGATGCAGTCCTCAGAAAAGACAGCAGGTGAGAAGCTCCTGCGCGTTGGGAGATGACGCACTGTGCCAGAGCGTCGGTACTGACGCCCGCCGTAAAACGGACATTTAACCAAATTGTGACCTTTACCCTCTTGCAATTTCACCTTCCCCTCACCCCCATCCTAACCTTAACCAGCTTGCACATGCAAAGCTCTGATTGTTGATGCGCTCCAGACATCTGTGTCCTGAGCACGGCCACAGTAACATTATCAAATCAGGTGTCGCCACCTCAAAAACTAATTTAACACGTGATCGTTCATGTCGGCTCATTTCCTTTTATGTTTTCTGTCTTTTATTCTTTTATTTTTGCCTGATGCGTTTCGCTGCTGTGGAACGGGGCGCATCACCTGTTTTGTCCTCCGGTGACGCACCTCAGTGATGCGGCCGGCGAGCAGCGAGCACTCCGCTGTTTTTGTGGTCGGTAGATCTTTTAGAACTGCAGTTCAAAGGTAAGTCATGAGGTGAATATATATGAACCCAGGTAGCAGTTTCTCTTTAGGACTGAGAGGAGATGCAGGAAGATAATAAACAGACAGGACAGAAAAATAGTCAAATAAAAACAAGTTAGTTTTTGTACCTGGTGGTTGCAACAAACAGACACCATTGAAGGTAATCAGAAGTGAGGAACAGAAAATGAAATAATTATTTTAATGTTTAGAGCAGCAGGAACTCTGAGAGGCTGCAGGCGCATCAGTGAGTTTGCGGCCGCTGCGCAGGGGGAGGGGGGGGGGCTGAAGCAGAAACTACCGTTGTTAAAAGAAATGTGTTTATCTTTGAGAATGTGGGAGCAATTTTAAATTTTAATTGTCGAAAACTCCAGCGAACCAACCAACCCCCCCCCCCCCCGCGCCGCTTCAGGTGTATGACGTCATCAACAACTAGTCAAAGTCGACTCGATTTTCATTACTTGACTGTCGACTTTAAAAAAAGTTAAGTCATGCAGCCCATAATCCTCACACTAAGCAAGCACATAGCGACAGTGGAGAGGAAAACTCCCTTTTAACAGGAAGAAACCTCCAGAGAATCCTGGCTCAGTATAAGCAGCCATCCTCCACGACTCACTGGGGATGGAGAAGACAGAGCAGACACACACACACACACACACACACACACACACACACACACACACACACACACACACACACACACACACACACACACACACACACACACCAAGCAATGTGTCCATGGTTATATTGTGATTTCTTAGTAAATATTCTATTTGGTGAGAGATAAACTTTATAGTATTTATCCTAGTGGATCTATAATTAAACGGGTAAACTAGTAGTAGCACGTCCAATGTCAAAATAGTTGAAAGCACAAATCCAGGAATGAGTTTTGTTCCACATTTGACAAGAAAAGGCACGCAGGGAAGCTGTCTTTTATTCTGGTTGATGTTTATTCAAAGTTTCAGACGCTCCAGTAGATGACTAAACAAAGACCAAAATCTGCCTTTTACATGTCTCACCTTCTCTAATTTAATTTTTCCGAGTTTTTCTTTTTTTACATGTTTGTTTCTGTCTCCTCCTGCAGACCCGTTCTCAGACAAATATTGTCACACTTGAACAATAGCTGCCGCCGCCTCAACCCCGTGTTGTAAATCCCAGAACGAGCCTTGAGGTATTTGTAAAAGTGGCGTTCACTACCTCAGAGTTTGGCTCTGGTGTGTGCTCCTTTCTGGGCTCTGAGCCAGAGCAGCAGTTCTATTATTGCTCTGCAGCATCTCTCTGAAAGGATCCGGTGAAGGAGGCTGTCCAGCAGGACAGATTAGAGCTGAAGCACTAGGAGCACACAGACAGCCGCCGTTTTCATTCAAATCAGCATTTTACAATCACGCTAAACTTCTGCAGACTTTTTCTTTGTGGCAAACAGGGACACAACAACACCACTTTTTTCAAAACCGATACGATACCGATACTTGGATCTGAGTACTCGCCGATACCGATTACCAATACTGATACTTCTACCACGACGGCCTTGCGTGAATGGTTCACCAGAATGATTGACAGTTATGCGGACCAATCGTTCAGATGATCCACCCGGAAGAACAAGACCCTCCACTATGCCTTTAACCATCTGTGGCACTGTCCTCTTCTGCACCGTGCCGTAGATCTTCACGTGTAGGCTGAACAAGTTTTAAACACCTTTTCAGTCTAAAAATGCTTTCATTCACATAAATGTTGATTAGAAGAGCAGCAGCAGCTCTACATGGAACCTTTCTGTCTCACATATTACTGTAAGTAGGGAGGGGTACCTTTGACATTTGAATCGATACGATACTAATTCCCGGTACCTAGGAATCTATACCGGTACTTAACAGTACCAATTTTAAATACTTTTGAGTGTTTATTATTTTAATTCTCTTTTATAATTAAATATATATTTTTCTCAATATATAACCATATTTGATAAATATCACGATAAATAACATTCAACTGTTTGTATTTTAACATCGTCCTTGTAGTTTTATAAGCTGATAATTAAACTAAAGCAAACATCTTTACTGTGAACTAAATTTACTGTGTATCTTCATTCCTTTTGCCGTCCTTTTTCATTTGATTTTCCCTACTGGGAAGTTAGAATTTCCGAGGAGAAAGCAAACACACCATTAGCTGATAACAATGGTGGCAATGGAAGCTAACATACCAAGCTAACGTTATCTTAAACAGTTTATTTAGCTGCTGGAGCAGATTAAAACGATGATGCCTCACACTTAAAACGTTGTCGCTGGTTTCATCTTCACCCAATCACCCATCGCATTTAGTAAAGTGAAGCCAAACTTTAGAGCGCGTTCATGTTCTAGTCGGAGATTCGGAGTTCCGAGGAGAAAGCGAACGCACCATTAGCGGAACAGAAGCAAACATATCAAGCTACCGTTATCTTAAACATTTTATTTACCTACCGGAGCAGATTAAGATGAGGATGTCTCACTTAGATCGTTGTCGCTGGTTTCATCATCACCCAGTTACCCATCACATTTAGTGAAGTGGACCCAAGCTTTAGCGTGCGTTCTTTCTACCATGCTGCTCTGTTTGCAACTCGCTCGCAGCGACCGACGACATAACGCTCTTGCGCATGCGTAGCTGTCTTGGCAAGTTCTCGTTATGAAGGACGGGTACCGAAACGAGGCACCGTTTGAAATTACGTGAATCGGTGCTCGGTCGGTACTATGGAATTCGGTCAGTACCTTAAAAAGTACCGAATTCGGTACCCATCCCTAACTGTAAGGGAAGAAAAACTTTTAATAGACAGCTGCTTCTCCATTAATTAGCCATCATGCTGACCTTTCCTAGCCTCATGATCGATTACCTGAGAAGTGTTTTTGTGAGCGGCTGCACAGCTGAAACGATGCTGAGAGCGGCTCTTTGGGTCGTGTTATTCATGTGAATCATGCAAGAGCAAGTGTTCTAAACTCTTCATGAAGATTTGTAAAAACATAGGATCAGCTCACGAATCGGCTAACAGTTTTCTCTAAAACGGCGGGAAACTAATTGAAAGGGGGTGGGGTGACGTTTGAGGTTCAGCGAGTTTGTTAAACTAATCAGGAAAATTTACCGAGCAGCTGCTGCAGAACGTCCCTCCGGAGCGGCTCCGTCAGCCTGACAGACGTGCAGGAGTGGTGCAGGCACG